TCCACGTGAGAGGACTCCTGAGCATCTGCCAGACATGACACAGTCCCTACAGACGCTGTCCCCGGACGCGGGGAGAAACTGAGTCCCGGTCACCACCAGGCGCGGGAACCGTGCGTGGGACCGACCGGGGCCGACCTTTTTCTATCCGCCGGGAATACCGCCGATCACGTGACGCCGCCGCCTCACGTGATTCAGACCCGGGCCGGGGCGGTCCTCGGGCTGCATTACGTCATCACGTCGCGCGGCCGCGGTTCGCACAGCCCGGAACCCCGCGGAGACGGCTCCCGACTCCCAGCCGCGGTCTCCGCCCGAGCAGAATGGGGGAGACGAGGAAGGCTGGAGGCGTCTGGCCCTGAGCACCCTCCTGGCAACCGTCCCCCAGCTGTCCCCTGCGGCACCTCCACCCGGCGGTGCAGGCTGTGTGCCCGTGTCGTCTGGGAGACCGCGGCTGCTCGCCTGGACGCCTGCCTGGCGGTGACGCCCCTCCCCCGCCCTGCGTCTCCCGCGGTGGGTCCTCTACTCAGGTGTTGACGGAAGTTCTAGAATAGGTCGCCGCCCTCAGGTGAGAGTGAAGGGTGTGCTTGCTGGGACTTCGCCTGGCGAAGCAGGAATCCCCAGGAAGAGGGACCAGTGACACTAGGGTTACTCAATTTGACAGAAACTGTAGAGCCCAGAATTTCTTCTCAATAGACGAGCATTTATATTGGGAACCAGCAGTTAGCGTAATGGCTATGTCGCTGGACTCCCACGTAGTCGACTGCGGTTTGCGTCCCGGACCCGGTGGCTTAAAACTCACGCCGGGCGCGTGTGCATGTGTGCCCAAGATCCCGAGAGGAGAATGGAGGGGAAGGGATTGCAGCGCCCCCTGGGGGGTGATTTCTCGCTTTCTATCTCTCTGTATCTGTCTGGCGAGTGCACGCGCCCTATAGCAAAAACCTGTCCAAAAAAAAAAATATATATATATATATATGTTGGGAGTGCCTGTCTCCCTTCCAACTCTCTCTCTCATGCAGGAAATAAAATACATTTAAAAAAAATTATGATCATGTTGGGGCCAGCAGATGGCCTGGTGGTTAAGGTAGCTGGATCCCTCATAGTTAACTGTGTGGTTTTGGTCCCAGACCCTGCAGCTTGAAACACACACTGGGCACATGTGCACGCCAGACCAATGGAAGAGAAAGAATTGCAGGGCTGCCATCCCCCTGGAGGAGTGATTTCTCACATTCTGTGAGTTTCTCACTCTTCTGCCTGTCTCTTCAGTGAGCACATACACCCTATAGTCAAAGCTAAATGACAAAGACATTTTATGATTGTGGCCCAGTTTCTGTGGCACAGGCTGTGGGACAGGCTGTAGGATACTGAAGCCACATGAGAAGAATTGAGGTTTAGGTCCTGGATCACTTGAACACAGCCCAACTGGAATGGCTGGAGGTGTTGAGGGAGGATCATTGTATGGCATGGGGGGTAGTGGTGGCCCTATTTCTCATTTTCTCTCTTTCATGGTAAAAAAAATGACTGTTACGATGGACTTTTGAAAAGCATGTTGTGATATTTTAAAATTCTTGGATCATTTCAGGAAGTTTTGGATCCCAAGTTAGGTAGATTAACTAGGATCAGTAAATGGCATAATGGTTACGTTACTGGACTACCATATAGAAGACCACTGTTATAGTCTTGGACCTGGCGGCTTAAAATTTATGTCAGGCGCGTGTGTGTATGCCCAAAATCCAGAGAGGAGAATGGGGAAGGGATTGTGGCATGGCCATTCTCCCAGGGGAGTGATTTCTTACTTTCTGTCTCTCTGGTGAGTGATTTTTGCCTTATAGCATAAATCTCTTTCTCTAAATAAAAAAAAAAGAGAGATTTAAGAGTCCCCCTCATTTTTTTCCCCCAGAAATTGTTCCAGAATTGGGCCAGCAGGTGGCGTGGTGGTTAAGGGAGCTGGACTCCCACATGGGAGGCCGTGATTCAATTCCCAGACCTGGCAGCTTGCTTTTTCACTTTCTCTCCCTCTCTCCCTGTCCCTCTCTAGTCAAATTAAAATAAATAAATAAAGGGACCAGCAGTTAGCGTAATGGCTGTGTCGCTGGACTCCCACATAGTCGACCGCAGTTTGCGTCCTGGACCCAGTGGCTTAAAACTTAGGCCGGGCACGTGTGCGTGCGTACTCAAGATCCTGAGAGAAGAATGGAGGAGAAGGGATTGTGGCATGGCCATCCCCTCTGGGGAGTGATTAAAAAAATTGTCCCTGAAGCTAAAAAAGAAAGAAAAAATTGTGGGACTAAAGTCTATTAATCCAGAAAATACTCCTTAAATTGCTTTTTATATGTAGTTTGTTAGTGAGGTTTTGTTTTGTTTTGTTTTAGAGATTTTGGCTATAGGGCGCGTGTACTTGCAGGAGAGACAGAGAGACAGAAAATGAGAAATCTTTTCCCGGGGGGGTGGCTACACCACAGTCCCTTCTCCTTCCTTCTCTCAGGATTTTGAGCATGCATGCACACATGTCCAGTGTGAGTTTTAAGCTGCCTGGCTTAGGACTTGAACTGCTGTCAAGTATGTGGGAGTCTGGAGACAGAACCATTATGCCATCTGCTGGTTCCATTAGAGAGTTTATTTTATTTATGCATACAGATAAACTTTGCAGATAATAGGCTATGGCAGTAAAATTAGTAGTGGAGAAATTTTTTTTTTTTGGAGAGGTTTTTGCTATAGGGTGCATTAGCTTGCCAGACAGACAGAGACAGAGAGATAGAAAGCGAGAAATCACCCCCCAGGAGGGATGGCCACACCACAATCCCTTCTCCTCCATTCTCCTCTAGGGATCTTGGGCACAGAGGCACATGCGTGAGTTTAAGCCACCGGGTCTGGGACTCGAACTGCGGTCAACTACGTGGGAGTCCAGTGACATGGCCATTACGCTAACTGCTGGTCCCAGTAGTGGAGAAATTTTGATAGGTTTATATAAGTTTTTTTTGAGACTGGAAGAATTACTACAGATATTGACTTAATCAATTTAGGAACATTTATTAATAATGTAGGGTAAGGAGACTATCTGTTTGAAGAGTTTCATCAGCTGAAGTCAAAAGTCCATAGTCAGCTTGCATAGTTTTCACTATTCAGTTTTAGTACTAGGTCCTGATTTGAAATTTCTTTATTTTTAAATTTTTTGATAGTAATTACTTAATTTTATTTATAATTACTTTTTTTTTTTTTTGGAGAGGTTTATCGCTATAAGGCGCGTGCACTCGCCAGACAGACAGAGAGAGACAGAGAGACAGAAAGCGAGAAATCACCCCCCAGGGGGGATGGTCACGTCACAATCCCTTCTCCTCCATTCTCCTCTCAGGATCTTGGGCACGTACACACACGCGCCCGGCGTGAGTTTTAAGCCACCGGGTCCAGGACACGAACCGTGGTTGACTGCGTGGGAGTCCAGCGACATAGCCATTACGCTAACTGCTGGTTCCCTATAATTACTTTTTAATTTGATGAGAGAGAGTGACAAAGACAGAAAGAGGAGGAAAGTGAGAAAGTGATCTGCCAGGTCTGGGACTTAAACCATGGTCAGCCATTTGGGAGTCCAGCACCTTAACCACCATGCCACTCCCCAGCCCCTGAAGTTTCATCTTAAGAAGAAATCCAGATATATTTGGAAGCCATTCATAATTCTTTATATTCTTCTTTAGAAGAAAGTTCATTTTCACTAACCCTGACCTCTGTCGCTCTAAGTTGAATAGACATATTGCTGTACATTTATTGTGCACCTGCTAAGATGGGGGAAAAACATAAACTAGAATTCCCAGCCTTTAAATGCTTATCTACTCATGGGTATTAGTGATAATACGTCTTTAAAGAATTTTATCATTTGAGGTGACAACCTTGTGAAGCTATACACGGCATGCATAGTTTCTTTCTGCTTCCAGTGCAGTCGAGTGTTGACTACAGTAAATCTCAAGTGGCAAGGTCACTCAACAGTGCAGGAATTGAGAGGAAAAAGAGGTAACCTTTCACTTCCAAGTCAGTGGCTGGGTTGTGGTGGAGATACAGAAGAGAAGAACACACTCTACTTGTGGATATTTGGTTATAAGGAAACCTCTTCTTAGTTCCTTAATTTGTAAAGCTAATTGAGTATGTTCAGTTTCTCCAGTTCTTCAGATAAGCTCATTGTTGTTTTCTCTGTAGTTGCAGGATCCAAGGACCCCCTTTGTTCTTTCTCCAAATCGCTTGATGGGAGGCATTATGGCCCCCAAAGACATAATGACAAATACTCATGCTAAATCCATCCTCAATTCCATGAACTCCCTGAGGAAGAGCAATACCCTCTGTGATGTGACCCTGAGAGTGGAGCAGAAAGACTTCCCTGCCCATCGGATCGTGCTGGCTGCTTGCAGCGATTACTTCTGTGCCATGTTCACCAGTGAGGTAGGTGCAGGCTCAACACGTGCAACCTGGGGGTGGTCTCATTTCTCTGAATAGTGGGGTAGAAGTTTGATTTGATGGTAAATTGTTGGGAGTACAGTGGTTGCATTAGGCAGGCTCTGGGTAAGCTCTGCTGCTTGACTGTGTCTTGGTTTCCTTATCTGTAAATTAGAAATAATAGGAATATGCAATCACACGTGGTTAGCATGAAGAGTAAGAAAGGTATATATAAAGCATTTACAACAGTGTTAAGCAGGTAGTAAAACAAATGTCAACTACTGTATTTATTTACTGTTTTAAAATCTAGGATTCAGATTGCATTCCACTCCTCCTGGCAACATGTGAAGAAAATCAGTATTCATTAGACCAATGTATTAGATATTTGGGGGTAATTTCAAAAGTGATTGCCCATGATCCTGGTCACTGAGACTAGGGATGGATTGTGGCATGAAAACCACGCTGGTGGTGTTTCTCTCTCTCTACCTTTCCCTTTGTGTGTCTCTCTCATGTAAGAAAGACACTTCTGCCCGGCCATGGTGGCACAGGGCACAGCATCCTGATCTGAAATTCTGGAAGCCACATGACTGACCACACTTTAAATTCTGAGTTGACCTGAAACATGCCATGTGGGAGTCCAGCATCTTGATGACCACGCCACCTACTGGTCCTGGACCCAATCTAATTTTAAAGCAAGTGTAGTTTATGATGCTTTGAGCCAATGCTCCATCATGTAGCTGGTAGGAGAAACAGGAAAATGACAGGCTGTTCCAGCTAATCCAGGCTAATTTTTTTTTTTTTGAGAGGTTTTTGCTGTAGGGCGTATGCGCTCACCAGACAGAGAGAGAGACAGAGAGATAGAAAGCGAAAAATCCCCCCCCAGGGGGTATGGCCATGCCACAATCCCTTCTCTTCCTTTCTCCTCTCGGGATTTTGGGCACACATGCACACATGCCCGGCGTGAGTTTAAGCCACGGGGTCCAGGACTCGAACTGTGGTCAACTACGTGAGAGTCCAGCGACATAGCCATTACGCTAATTGCTGGTCCCAATCCAGGCTAATTTTAAAATGATCTTGTGTAATATGACATTTGAGATCCCTGTCCTATACTCTCCACAGTTGTCTGTCTAAGATCCTCAGAAGAGATTGGCATTTAATTGGGTAAGGACGGAATCACCCCGCAGTTGTACATGAAATAGACTAGGACTGCTGGCTGCTAATTATATATTGTGTATCCGGGTTTTTGTCAGTTTGCACACAATCTGTCTTAACTCTTTTTTTCACACATTCAGAAATTACCTTGGAATTCTAATTATTAGACAAAAAAGAGTATTTTTTGTTTGTTTCATCAGCGATTATTTCTTTAAGAGCTGACATTTGGCAAGAAAATGCCAGATAATTTTGTCTTTTTGTTTGTTTTGTTTTTTCTTTTTTGAGAGGTATTTTTGCTATAGGGTGTCTGTGCTCGCCAGAAAGAGAGAGACAGAGAGACAGAAAGAAATCACCCCCCAGGGGGGATGGCCACGCTGCAATCCCTTCTCCAGTCTCCTCTCGGGATCTTGGGCATGCACGCACACACACCGGCATGAGTTTAAACCACCAGGTCCAGGACTCAAACCGCAGTTGACTACATAGGAGTCCAGCGACATAGCCATTACGCCAACTGCTGGTCCCTGTTTTGTTTTTCCTATACAGTGTGTACACTCACCAGAGAGAGACACAGAGGGAAAGTGAGAGATTACTGTATAGGGTGGATGACCACACTGCAATCTATTCTCTATTTTCTTCTTGGAATCTTTGTGCATGTACACACATGTGCTTGGCATGATTTTCAAGCTGCCAGATCCAGGACTCAAACCATTGATGAACCATATGAGATTCAAGCACCTTAACCACCATGCTACTTGCTGGCCCCAATGGAAGTTATTTTTAACAGTGTTTTGCCAAGCTGTGTCCTCTCCTGCTGCAGCCTCCCAGTAGTTTGGATGACAGGCACATGCCACTGGTCGAGTTTAGGTTGGGCCAGGAAATGAACTAGGACCCTGCGGTGTCCTCAGCTATCATGCTGTAGCACCCTCCTCAGCTGGGCTGTACCACCTCAGCTAGGCCATTTTTCTAAAACATGTATTAAAAAAAAACATGTATTCGTTAATTTTATTAATATCCTGTTAGGCACTTGGATATGAGTTTCTGCCTTTATCTTGTGAAATTCTTTCATACTCTGAATCATCCTTGTTTCATACTCTGAATTTTCAGCTTTCAGAGAAGGGAAAACCTTATGTTGATATCCAAGGTTTAACTGCCTCTACCATGGAAATCCTGTTGGACTTTGTGTACACAGAAACGGTGCATGTAACAGTGGAAAATGTCCAAGAACTGCTCCCTGCAGCTTGTCTGCTTCAGCTGAAAGGTACAGACATCAAATGTGGTTTTCGTTCATGCTAAAGTAGCCCCACACGTGCTTAAACTTACGCAGCCATGAAGGTTACAGAGGTAGACTGGGTGCCCATGACTTCCGTCTCCTGAGCAACAGAACATTGGGCATCAATAGTGCCATAAAGAAACCTCTCCAAATAGGAGTATTCGACTCATTAAAAGAGATCATTTACTCCTTTTCTGGATTTAGAGGAGGACATAATAAGGAAATACAGGAAACTGATCCTTTTCATTGCCTGCATGGGTATTGTTATTGGCCTAGCCACCAGATGGCTAGGTTGTTAGGGAGACTGGGAAACTTTTCAAGGTAAACCCTTTTGTATTTAAATTTTTGAAACATGTACAATATCTATTTAAATAGTCAAATTTAAGCTGGCACACAAAAAGCTGTGTGCATTGGCACATGCCCGTAATCCCAGCAACTCAGGAAGCTGAGGCAGGAGGATTGTAAGTTTGAGGCAGCCTGGGCAACATAGTGAGACCTTGTCTCTTTATTTATTTATTTATTTAAAGATTTTTTTTTTTTTTAATTACTTATTTAGGGACCAGCAGATGGCATAATGGTTATGTTGCTGGACTCCCATGTAGTGGCTTAAAACTCACACTGGATGTGTACATTCATGCCCAAAATCTCAAGAAGAGAATAGAGAAGAAGGGATTGCAGCATGGCCATTCCTCTGGAGGGTGATTTCTTGCTTTCTGTCTCTCTGGTGAGCACATGTGCCCTATAGCAAAATCTCTCAAAAAAATTAAAAAGTAATTATTTGATTTTATTTATTATTTACTGTTTTTTAAATTGGGTATAGGGCATATGTGCTCATCAGAGAGAGAGACACAGAGAGAGAGAGGCAGACAGAGAGAAAAATGAGAAAGCAAACCATCAGGTCTGAGACTTGAACCTCAGCCATGTGGGAGTCTAGTGCCCTAACCACCAAGCCACCTGCTGGCCCAAGACCTTGTCTTAGACCTTGGCTTTTTAAAAAAAAAAAAAAGAGCAAATTATACACAAAAATGAAAGTGAAAGATTTTATAGGATTCGAGATGGACTTTTAATTCCCAGTGTATTTTTTTTTTTAATTTTTTTTTGGAGAGGTTTTATTTATTTATTTAAGAATTATTTTATTGAAATTTATTTATTTATTTTAATTTGACCAGAGAGGGTCAGAGTCAGAGTCAGAGTGAAGTGAGAGAGAGAGAGAGAGAGAGAGAGGGAGAGAGAGGGAGAGAGAGAGAGAACGAGCCC